CCTGTGAAACGGGACTGAAGATTAAATAAAATCACACACATGCGCATGCGCACGCGCACACACACACACACACACACACACACACACAGGATTAAGAAAACAGCCTGACAATACGGTAAGTGCCAATTACTATTTTTTATAAATGCCAATGCTTAAAACTGCACCATAATTATTATAAGTCTCCTTGAAATATTTCAAAGACATATAGTATAAATATAAATTTGAACATTTAAAGTTAAAATTCAAACACTGAACTTTATTAAACATCTTTGTTGTCCTTTGTTTCCTACCCGTGTGACATAAGTAGACACAAAGGTATCCACAGGGGAAACTAGGATAAGCATTCTAGGTAGGTCAACTTTTTTGACTACCATGTAAATGACTTTATTAGTATCAGTGAGTATTTTCAGTATTGATTAGTGTCCTATTATCTTTAATTGTCAACTTGACACAGCTTTGAGTCATCTGAGAGGAAGGTTCTATTGAGGAACTTCCTCAATCAGACCTGTGGTATGTCTTGATTGTTAATTGATAAAAGAGAGCCCAGCCGTGGTGGGCAGCATCATCCCTAGGAAAGCAGTCCCGGGCTGTTTAAGAAAACCAGCTCCTCATGAGCCTGAGAAAGTCAGCAAGCAACTCTCCTCCACGGCTTGTGCTTCAAGCTCCTGCTTGAGTCCCTGACTTCCCTCAGCGATGGACCATGACCTGAAGTCCCTGACTTCCCTCAGTATGTATGTGTGTATGTGTGTGTGACTGTGTGTGTGTGTGTGTAAATCACATGTGAGGAAGTGCCTGCAGAGGCCAGAAGAGGCATGTGATCCCCTGGAGCTGGAGTTACAGGTAGTAGTAAGCCACCTGACTTGGGTACTGGGAGCCAAAAAGGTCCTCTGCAAGAGCAGTTACATGCTAACTGCGTCACTCCAGCGCTGGTAAGAATGTTTCATTACAGTAACAGAGTGAAGCCAGAACAACTACCTTTTCCAATTCTAATTCAGAAGACAGAAATTGTACATGTTTAGAGTTGAAGCTGCAAACACTGTCACATTGTATGATCTATTTGTTTTCTTTTTATGAGAGAAATAATTTGCAATGGTCTATGAATCCTAACGAAATGTACATTGAGCAGCAAAAGCTGAAACAAATGCTGCTCTTGGAAAAAGAGAGATAGAGAGAAATACAGACACACTCACAGACACCAGAAACACAGAGACATGCAGAGAGGCACACACAGATACACATAGACACACAGACACACAGAGAGAAACACATAGATTCACAGACACACACATACACACACAGACACATAGACAGACACATATAGACAGATACACACAGATACAGATATATACAGCGAGAGACACACACACGTGCATGCACACACACAGTCAGCATTGCTCTCTGGCAGAGAGACCCTAGAAGAGGGGAACCCAGGCCAACACCAGAGGCCATGATGCCCTGGGCTTTATGAAACAATCACTCTCTTTTCCTCTTCAAACTCCCAACAGAAGTATTTTAAAAAAAACTATCTTTAAAAAGCTTCAAAAACACAAGACAATTCCATTCAAGGTTGTGGGAGTTACATTCTTTGTAGAATTTTCATTGCAGTCACCCACACAACAGATATTTTAATGGAGTTTTTCTAAACATCAGGTAAGTTTTCCCTTTAAGGACTTTCTAGAAACAACTTTCATGTTTTTCTTCAATAAAAATAAAGATTATAGCTTAAATCATGGTTTGATCCCCTAGGTGGGTTCGAATAGACCACCTAAGAGGAAATTAAATTTCCCATACTTGTATTGTTCTTTCAAGAATCTCTAAGGAAGGCATCACTTACACCTTAGCTCAGCCTTTAGATCAAAGGCAAGGACAAGCATTCTAAGGACAACTAATTTAGGATATGTGCCCAAAGATAATGCAAATTAAAAATTTAAGGAAATTTAACTAAGAAATTTAACTAAATACCAGATGAGATTCAGTTAATCATATGTCCTTAAACTATTTCCTAAAATATCAAACAAAGAAGACTCATAAAAATCTAATTGGAAATTGCTTTGAAGAGACATTTGGTTCAAACAAGAAACAAACTTAGGGTTCTCTGGTGTTTTAAAGGAAGTTTATTGGCCCATCCACACATACAAATGCGCGCGCGCACACACACACACACACACACACACACACACACGAATCATTGTGGAAGGCTAGATAATTGCACTCCCCAAAGATGTCCACGCCTTGTGATCTCTTGCTAGTCACAGAAACTGTAACATGTTACATTACATAGCAAAGTGGTTCACAGGTGGATGAAGTTGAAATCCTGATATTGGGGATCAGATTATTCAGGTGGTTCCAATGTGATCAAGGGTCTCATAAGAGGGAGGCAAGAGTATCAGAGTAAGAGAGAGTTCTGACAACTGGGGGGTGGAGGACAGAGAGAGAGGAAGAGGAGAGGAAGGTTGACTGGGAAGGTCCACACTAACTGGCTTTGAAGATTACAGAAGGGCCCAAGAGCTAAGGAAAGCAGGGTCCCCATGTTCTGCCTCTAAAGGACAGAAAGGACTAGGAAATGAATACTGCCCTACAGCCTCTGGATGGCGCACACTCTGCTGACACCTTAATTTTACCAATGATCTCACAATCTGTAAGATCAGTGTAGTTTTATGACATAAGAGTTTGGTAAATAGTGAACTTATATAACCATGGAACATAGGCACCTATTTTCCTACTACTGAAAAACTGGGTTTCTTTTTTTTTTAAGACTGCCCCCAGGAGTGGTAGGTAGTGATTTTGACTAGTCTTTTCTCTAATACTACTACCCAGACTGGAGTCACTGCACCCTCGTTTGCTGGCATAGATCACCAAGCGTCAACTGTTTAAGAAGGCCAGCTGGCACGGGGAGGGCATCCAGTGCTGTCTCACAAGGCAGATATGTGAATCATTCTATCTCATCAGGCTCCCTTTGGTGTACACAGTAGGTGCATAGACATTTGCACGTTTGCATGTGTATGGAAGCACATGTGTAAACCACTAGGGGTTTTCCAGACAAAAATGAAAACCTGAGCTATGGACATCAGAGGGAACAAACAGGGTGATTAACTTAGAGCAGCTTAGAAGATACATTGAAATGCTCATCAACTAGTGAGCAAAAGCCTGATCACCCTCCTAGTTTCCTTCAGAGTGTTCAGTGTGGGTCTGCCGTACCAACTGGAAGAGTTGTCGTAAAAACTACGTTGTCCGAATATTTCTGCTTTGGGATTTTCAGTCAAAATCAACTAACCTACAGTAATAGTTTAAGAAATAACAAGACAACAATAATTACAAAGGAAAATGAGCATAATGTATTCTCAAATGCGTATTTTCCTCTATCTTAGGCCGGAAAACACTTGTTAAAGTTGCACAAACCACATTTATTTTGACAATTTGTTGGTCAAATATAGTTTAATCATTGGGTCTAAAGCAGAAGGCATTTTGATCACTAAAGTGAACATCGGAATCTGTGTGTGTGTGTGTGTGTGTGTGTGTGTGTGTGTGTACGTGCACGCGTGGGGGGGGTATGAGGATGTCAAAGGACGACCCTGGTGTCACCCCTCAGGTGCCATCACCTTTGTTTTGAGACAGGGTTGCTTGGCCTGAAACTGACCCAGTGGGCTGGGCTGCCTGGCCAGCAAGCCCCAGAGATGCTCCTGTCCCCACCACCCAGCTCTGGGGTTTCAAGTCCACACCACTATGCCCATTACATTGGTTCTAAGGACAGAATGTGGGTCCCCATGTTCGTGCAGCAAGCATTTTACCCACTCAGCCTTCTCCCTGCCTGGCTGATGAAGCATTTTGAAGCAAGACTCCTCCTCCTAATCAACAATATTCCATGTCATTGATTGTCTACAGGTATGTACTAAGAAACAATCACCACAGTCTTTCTATAATTACATAGCACATTCACACACTGACAAAATAAAACTAACTCTGTGGTTCTAAAACAGCAAATGATTACAACTTTTGGAAGTACGCTAAACAAATTTTGTTTGATATTGATAATCCTAATTAAAAGAGTAAGTAGCTAGCTTTAAAAAAAAAAGAAAAAAGAAAGCAAATGCAGGAAAGGGGGAACTTCTCAAGAGTTGTATTTTATATTTAAGAGTATCCCCCTAGGTATTAAACGTGCTGCTAGCTGCTACTTAATGAGCCACCTGAGCTGTCATTTTTAATAACTGACTGACAATCTGTAAGTTGATAATCTCCAAAAATCAATGGTGCAGTAGTTAACAAAGCAAAGAATAGAAACTATTCCACCTATTAAAAAATAGTATTATCTTATACCCAGCATAACACTGTTAAAAATAACAAACAGATAATTATAATTTAAAAAAACAACAGACACCAACATGCACAGACACTGTAAACAGCTGGACCTATATATAAATCTAAACAGTGCGTGCCAGTCACTTGTTTACAAAGGTCATTTGGAAGTTAGGTGTGAAGAGAGTTCCATGTTAAGCACTAGCCTATCATGCACAGGATCTGTGCTCAAATCACAGTAACAAAAAAGTTTTTAAGCCAGGTGTGGTGGCGCACGCCTTTAATCCCATCACTTGGGAGGCAGAGGCTGGAGGATCTCTGTGAGTTCAAGGCCAGCCTGGTCTACATAGTGAGTTCCGGGTCAGCTGGGGCTACAGGGAGACCCTGTCTCAAAAAGACCAAAAAAAAGGTTTTTGAGCCCATCAATCCACTGAAACCTCTAGGAAACATAACTATGCAAGATAGAATATGTTGAAATAAATATTTGGACATTCAATCCACTCTAATGAGCCAAAATTCAGTGCAAAACAAGGCGTAAAAATAAATACCACAAAAAGGCAACAATTCAATTCACCAAACACAGCAGTAACACATCATAAAGTCATATAATTGCCTTTTGCAATCCATATGTACTTATTTTCCAAATGCCAAAACTACCTTTAAATAACTCCATTTTCAAACTCTAAAAATTAAAAGAGAAAGCAGACCTCCTCCACGAAGAGAAAGCAGACCTCCTCCACGAAGAGAAAGCAGACCTCATCCACGAAGAGAAAGCAGACCTCCTCCACGAAGAGAAAGCAGACCTCCTCCACGAAGAGAAAGCAGACCTCCTCCACAAAGAGGAGAAAGCAGACCTCCTCCACAGAGCTGTCCTTCTTCTCCAGCATTTCTCAGAGGGTCTGGAGAATATTTATGCACAGTTTTTCTTCTTTCTCCATCAGCTTCGTTGTGTGATTGATAAACCTGAAAGTACAACACCAATCCTGAAAGAGGACACTGACTCCTCACAGAGGTACGTGCGTGAAGATGTGCAGCAGCGCAGAGCAGTCACAACAGGAGACACCAAGGTGAACTGCATACATAGTGTCCAAGTTTCAAAACTATAATTCAGCCTATAGCATTTGCTTGGTACCATGCCTGTAGTATATAGCAGTGTTCTGACGTATGAGGTGCACCCAGTACTCTGATGTATGATGTGTACTCAGTGCTCTGATGTATGATGTGTACCCAATGCTCTGATGTGTGATGTGTACCCAGTGTTCTGATGTATGATGTGTACTCAGTGTTCGAATGTATGATGTGTACTCAGTGTTCTGATGTATGATGTGTACTCAGTGCTCTGATGTGTGATGTGTACCCAGTGCTCTGACGTTGTGTGATGTGTGCACTGATGTATGATGTGTACTCAGTGTTCTGATGTGTGATGTGTACTCAGTGTTCTGTTGTATGATGTGTACCCAGTACTCTGATGTGTGACGTGTACTCAGTGCTCTGATGT